CTGTGGGATAAATAAGGAACTTTACCAACCAACTGCAGGATGGCGGACTTTATAAAAAAAACACAACAGAACAAGAAACAAAGCCTGAGGTTTTACAAACAATGGTTTTTGATTTGGGGTGGGGGTATGTGTCCTTGGCAAGACTGGGCTACCTCACCGACCTGACTCTGTGCTTGAGGTTTTTCTCATGTGCAGTTGTGAACCGAGGCTGCTTCTGCTCACCTCCTTGGTTTGCGTCTTGGGAACTTGGGTTTGGAGGACAAGTTGGTACTGGAGATGCTCCTGTGATGTGAAACCGATGAGCTAAGACCCTCACACCATGACATAGTTCTTGGGGGACGTGAGCCAGAGCACGGGGGCTGGAGTAGTGATTCCTGGAGTGCAGTCCTGGTATGCTACTAATGGCCCCATATTTTTTAACCAGTCAGATGGAATCTCCATTTTTTTCTGATGGTTATTCTTGGCTCCTGCTTTGCCATTAGATACACCGAGGTTCTTGAGTTAAAGCTTCCTGACATCTTGGCCCTGCCAATGGGCTGTTTTTACTTTGGAAGTTGCCGTTAATGCTGTCAAGCTTTGACCTCATTAACACAATCATTTTTGTTGGACTTTTATTCAGTTAGCATACCTGCTAAGTGCCTTGTGTGTGTCAAGTGGCTTGCTAGGGTCCAGAGATACAGCAGTGAGTAAGACCAGCCTTGATGCAGCTTCCAGTCTAACAGGGTGCGTAAGCATAGAACAGGCCATCTGTCTTGGGTGGTCCATCACAGGTGCACCGAATGTGGTTGAGCAGGATGCTGCAAGACCAGCAACAGGGAAGCCGGGCCAGCTTCCCAGTGGGTGCAGAGGAAGGGCAGAGACGGTGGCCTCAAGCTGAGTTTCACAAAGTGTGGTCCTCAAATAGCAGTGTCAGCACCACCTGGGAGCTGGCCAGAAATGCATATTCTCAGGCCTGCCCCAGACCTACTAAATCAAGCTCTGGAGGTGGGGCCCAACAATCTGTTTAATCATTAACCTGTTTAGTGTGATTTTGATGTACATTAAAGTTGAAGAACCACTGGTCTACAGGAAATAACATTTAAGCTGAGCTCTGAAGCGACACTGACCAGTATCGCAGCCACTGGTCACATGTAGTTACGGAGTCCTTGAAATGTGGCTAGTAACATGTATGAAATACACACCAGGTTCCAAAGACTTACTATGAAAAAAAGAATGTGAAATGTTTCATTCGTACTTTTCTGGGGAAGCAAAGAGAAGATCCCAAATACCATCATTCTAATTTAGAATGATGGTATTTGGGATCTTCTCTTTGTTTCCCCAGAAAATTCCAAGAATGGCATTCCTGGTTCCCAGAGACAAGGTTGTAGGAATGCTTTGTCTGTTGACCCAAGAGTCGCCTTGTCAGAGCAGCATACCCATCCCTGTGGTTCTCACACTACCCACTGTCCTACACGCCTCTTCACACATCTGCCTGGCTAGTCCCTGCCTTGAACCCTAAAGCCAGCTGGCTCAGTGTTGTATGTTTGCTGGTGAGCACTTGGTAAACCAGCTCCAGTGGTGGAGGTTTTAAGGTTTGCAAACTTTAAACTTCAAGAGCTCCTTTGCGAATGCCCAGCAGTTGGAGAAGTGGGAGAAGTCAGCTCACAAGATCAGGCAGGAAACAGGAGAGTGTCTTTGTTGACCTGAGATGGATACACCAGTTGGTGCTTAACCCGTACTATCTGAGTGCATATATTCTTGCACGCCAGAGTTGAGGAAAGGTGTGTATTTGCAGCTTTTGTGACTATACTACTATTCTGCTCCAGTATATATATATACTTGGAGTAAAAGGAAAGCAGAGAAGTGGTTTTATTTTTTAAACAAGGTAAGCAAATATGGCAGAATAAGATACAGCAGACCGGGCTCGGTGGCTCAGCCTGTAATCCCGTGCCTTGGTAGGCTGAGATGAGTGGATTGCCTGAGCCCGTGGGTTCAAGACCCGCCTGGGCAACTTGACAAGACCTCATCTCTACAATCAATAAAAAATCAGCCGAGAGTGGTAGCGCGTGCCTGTGATTCTGGCTACTCGAAAGGCTGAGGTGGAAGGATTGCGGAGCCCAGCAGGTCGAGGCTGCGGTGGCCGGAGCGGCCACTGCACTCTGGTCTGGGCGACAGAGTGAGACTCCAACTCAAATAAAAGATACAGAAGAGTTTGGTGGTGGGTGCGTGATTGTTCAGGCTGTTGCTACATTTTTTCTGTTCCTTTGATGTCATTTGTGGGGTGGTGGAGAAGTGCTCTGCTTACAAAATGTGCCTTTCTTCCTTTTAAGGGGACTAGCTTCATTAGCTCTTGGAGACGAGCCAAGGGTTGCGGTGGAGGAGCAGTCGGTGGCTTGCTTCTTTTTCTTTTTCTTTCTTTCTTTTTTTTTTTTTTTGAGTTGGAGTCTCACTCTTGCCCAGACTGGAGTACAGTGGCACGCTCCCAGCCACCGCAGCCTCGACCTGCTGGGCTCCGGCGATCCTTCCGCCTCTGCCTTCCTAGTAGGCGGAGCTACAGCCACACACTATCACGCCCAGCTAATTTTTTATTTATTGTAGAGACGAGGTCTCACCAAGTTGCCCGGCTGGGTCTTGAACCCGCAGGCTCAGGCAATCCTCTGGCCTTGTTCTCACAAAGTGCTGGGATTACAGACTGAGCCACCGAGCCCTCCACCCTCCTCCTCCATCCCTCCTTGTCCCTGGCTTTTGGTGGTTCAATAAAGAACACAACAATACATGATTACAAAGGGTGGATCCAGTTTGTGATGAACTAAAAGCTTCTACTACTTAGTGGACTGGGGCTTTATGGAGAAATAATACACAGTATATTTCTTTTGCAAGTTAAACACACAGCCACCCTTCCACCCACATGAATGCGCTGCTTGGTCTCCAGGTGAGGACTGTGGTCCCGGCTTCATCAACCTCAGGGTCACCATCCAGACCCTGCCTGCCACCTCTTGCCCCTTCTCTGCTCTCCTACCGCCTCGTGCCCCACCTAGGCTGAGGGAGGAGACATCACTCTCCCTCTCCGGGAATCCTCAGCTCAGTGAGGTACCTTCACCTGAGCCCAGGCTCCTTGATTTCTGGTGTGTCCCTGTGCCACATGCACTGAAGCCTCAAACCTGATGCTTGACCAGAAAGGGAAGGAAGAGAAAGCCTCTCAACCACAGCTATGTGGCACACAGGGACATCACAGAGACAGAGCTTATCAACAACAGTGGTCCCATGAGATGATCATGGGCACACATAGAAACCCGATATATAGTACTTGGCACTGGCATTGCAGATCAAGTAGGGGAAGTGACTCATATGGCAGTAGCGCTGGAACACTTGGTTTTCCATGTGAGAAAAATATATATCAGTAAAAATAAGTATACCGTCTAGGTTTGTGTGAGTACATTCTGTGTTCACACAGTGATGCCATCACCCATTGAGGCGTTTCTTCAGAACATGCCCCCTTTGTTCAGCGATGCCTGGCTGCACCTGCAGGTTATCCCTTCAGGTGTCCTCCCTTAGGTCCTCTGCCTTTCCCTAAATATACGGCCCTATTTTAAAGACCCTTTTGCCTTCCAAGTCTCTGGCATCGCTAAAGAAGGTAGAAGCGCGATCTGCATTTCAATTGTCTTGGCCGCTGATTGTTATGTGACTGTGGGTGAATCACAGTTTAAGTGGGACAGAAAAACTCCAGTGAGTGGAAGTTGCCGAGGGTGGTAGAGGACCAACCCCTAGTACTCATACAATCTTTATTCCCCAGTGTGTGCAGGGGCAGAGCACGTGCACAGAGTCGAGCAGCATTTGCCAGTACGGATATATCCACTGCAGGTAGCTAGAGGCAGGCTGAGCAGCCAGGTGTGCAGGTTCCCCAGGGGGTCCTCAGTCTCTGGGTGTATCTGCAGGCTCCCCGGAGTGTATACAGGCTCCTTAGACGGTCTATAGGCTCTCCAGGAGGCGTCCAGGATACCCAGGAGGTCCACAGTCTTTCCAGGGGTTATGCAGGCTCTCCAGGGGGTCTGTAGGGTCCTCAGGGAGTCTCAGGTCACCAGCAGCTTAAATGCAGGGTGTTGCCTGCCCCCTTACTAGATTCTCTCCCGCTAGGTGAGCCTGCTGTGTGCAGGGTATCTGGGGGGTCAAGAGGAGGAGGCAGGACCTCCTCAGTAGTGCTACTGCTCCCACTCCTGCAGACCTGCCCCTGTTAATCTGTTTCAGTAGGCAGCATGTCTCAGCTGCTTGGTGAGTAGCTTGTTTTGTGTCTGGATTTATTCCTGTCAAAAGCTCTATCTTCAGACAGGTGAGAGAGTATTTAGGTGCGTGCCACATTCAGTGTTAATGTCACTTTAAATCACTTTTAATGTTATTTGGATGTTGAACCCACATGTCTTGCATACCTTAGATTTTCTTGTATGTGATGTAGTCGGCAGCTTTGGAGAGCTAGAGACCACCAACCAGTGTAATGTGCCAGATATAGGTGGTTTTCATTGAGTTAACATGTTTAATAACTTCTTTAATAAGAAGATGAGACTGATAAGTATTTCTTTTTCCACCAGAGGAAAAATAAAGTGAGATGGATGCCTTCAATCTAGAGTCAGTGGCTGGAAGCTGGGAGTTCCCAGCCATTAGTCATTCTTTTAGACATCTGTAACTCAGTTTATTAAGTCCTCTCTACTGTAAGTATAAACCACCCTTTTATCCGGTGGAAACACAGCATGCCATGAGGATGAAGTGTTCTGTTATTTTTCCGTCATGCAATTAACATACTATACTATCCAGCCATCAGAAAATTTAAGTCAACTAGGTTCCCTGTAATTAATTATCTGTAGAATATGCCTGCATGTGCTGTAGAGTATGAGTTATTGGATGTCAAAGCTGTTCAAAGGGATTTTAGTTTATTTTAGAAACTGGCTGTTGTAAGGTCATGTTTCCATACCTGGGCAGACAGTTGAATGAAGACCGTCACTTAGATGTCTTGTTTCTTCTCTTTCTAGATGTATTGCTGTCCTTGAACATCAGCCCACTTGAAAACGCCTGGAAGTTCAGTCGCCAGCATGTCCAAGTACAGACTTGTTATGTTAAGACATGGGGAGGGGGCCTGGAATAAGGAGAACCGCTTTTGCAGCTGGGTGGATCAGAAACTTAACAGTGAAGGACTGGAGGAAGCTCGAAACTGTGGGAAGCAGCTCAAGGCGCTAAACTTTGAGTTTGATCTCGTGTTCACATCTGTCCTGAATCGGTCCATCCACACGGCCTGGCTGATCCTGGAGGAACTGGGGCAGGAATGGGTTCCCTTGGAAAGCTCCTGGCGTCTGAACGAACGTCACTATGGAGCCTTGATTGGTCTCAACAGGGAGAAGATGGCATTGAATCATGGTGAAGAGCAAGTGCGGCTCTGGAGGAGAGGCTACAATGTCACCCCGCCCCCTATCGATGAGTCTCACCCTTACTACCACGAGATCTACAGCGACCGGAGGTATAAAGTGTGCGACGTGCCCCTGGACCAGCTGCCGCGGTCTGAAAGCCTCAAGGATGTCCTGGAGAGGTTGCTTCCCTACTGGAATGAGAGGATCGCTCCAGAGGTGCTGCGTGGCAAGACCGTGCTGATCTCTGCTCATGGAAACAGCAGCAGGGCTCTCCTGAAGCATCTGGAAGGTACAGGCTTTATGGGCCACTCATCAGTGGTTGCTGGGTGTTACTGTAGAAGTTAATCTAAGAAGGCCGCGTTGACATAGTGGACTTTCCTTCCCCTCCCCACTGTCACTCCAGACTCAGAGGTCTGCTTGTTCTATACATCAAAACTCCCATGCCCTTTTCATTCACAGTGCCCACCGAAGCAGCAGTTTTCAGACTTTGGCGAGCATCAGTTACCTGGAGAGTTGGTATAGCAGGTTGCAGGTCCCACCCTCAGAGTTTCTGAATTGGTAGATCTGGGTGCAGCTTGAGAATGAGCATTTCTGAGATGTTTCAGGTGATGTGATACTGCTGCCTGTGGCTCCCCACTTTGGGAAGCACTGGGCTGAAGTCTGTGTGGCTTTTGTTGTCAGTGAAAGGAGGCAAGGAAGGGAGGGAATTATAGAAGTGATGTTGAAGGTAAATTTGAGTTCTTCAAGGTAAGCAAAGCATCTGGACTTCAGTTTTGCCTACTTTCTTCCAGCTGTTTAACAATGGCTGTTGTATTTCCAGAGCATTTCTTTGGTTTTGGTTCCTTCTCCAGACCAGGCTTAGTCATTGACTGGAGGAAAGTTAGGGGGAAGGAAAATAAAGGATAGTGGTTTATTTAAATCACTCTAAAATGGAAATCATCGGTAGCCTTAATTTTAACCATGTTGTATTCTAAACATATGCTAAGACCATGAACTAAATGAACTCTTTGAGGACTCAAGTTTGCTAGTTTTGGGCAGCTGTGATTGCACTGTGACACCTGTTGGAGATTGTCCGTTTCCCAGCCCGCATGAATTCCAGATGGTTGTGCCGTGGAGTGACCTGCTCTGCTCGCTCTGGTGTTTCCTGCCTTTCATCAGTGTCGGCAGTTAGTGTCCTGGTGGTGGGAGGCATTTCTCCATTGTTCCTTTTCATTCTGCTTTGCTTTTCTATAAGAGGCTGTGAAAAATAACAAAGTTGACCTTGCATGTGCAATAAATGGAAATAGGTTAATAACAAAAATGACGTGGTGGTCTTTAGCATAAGATTATTTTTTCCTAATTTTTGAAACATGGCCCAAGAGTCAAGTCATTAGTCATATAATTGACATCCATCAATTATGCAGAGATCTAAAATCTACAGACTTTATTAGCTATTAAAAATGTTATTGGCAAGACATGGCACTTGATCTGTGTATGTGTATAAGATCTACTCAAATGTATAAAACTTCTCTTCTTCCTTGCTTAGAATAATCAGTATTTGACTAAAGGATTATGACCTCATCGTTGATGGACTATAGTACTTTTTTGTTTGAAGAAGAGTTGAGGCTCTTGTTAGGACAACCATACACTGAAATTCCAAATTTCAGGGTTTCTGATGGAAGACGAATTCCTCTATTTGACCATGCCAACTCCTTTTTCAAAGAAGGAACTTAGATCTCATTGTGCCAGCCTCCTTTCTCTAAAGAAAATGCCACAATCTCCTTCAGGACCCTCTTTCTCTCCTTCTCAGCCATGAAGTCCTCCATTTCACTCTTCTTTTAAAGAGTTTCCTGCTGCTTAGTACCATTCACTCTTCACAGTTTAGATCTCTTGAAGACTTTTCTACATGCTCAACCACAACTTGTTCTAGACATCTTCTGCTGCTATTGCACTGATGACTTAGCTATTTGTTACCATTCTTTTTATGGAAATCGGAGAAAAATTTAACAAATGATGACAAAGAAGACTGTCACCTTGATGGGAACAGGGAGAATTACGTGTGGAGGGTGAGTTTAGACCTAGAAAAGCTTACGTTTGTACATTTGAGGGCGGTTTTGAAACCATTAGTAATTTACTGAAAAATGACTTAATGAAATAGTGTACCTGCTTTGGAAAACAATCTGGCAGTTCCTCAAGAGGGTTAAGCATAAGAGTTACCATACAATTCTGCAATCCCACTCCTAGATATATACCTGTGTTACTTTCCTAGTGCTGCCACAAGAAAGTACCCAAAACTGGGTGGCTTAAAACAGCAGAAATTTATTTTCTGGGGGATGCTAAAAGTCCTAAATCAAGGTGTCAACAGCTTTATGCTTTCTCTGATGGCTCCAGGAGAGAATTCGTCCTTGCTGCTTCTGTTTGCTGCCAATCTTTGGTGTTCTATGTTTGTAGAAGCATTATCTTCCTCATCTTCACATGGCATTCTCCTTATGTATGTTTGTCTTGTCTGAATTTTCCCTTTTTACAAGGACACCAATAACATTGAATTGGGGCCTACCTCAGTGACCTCACTTTAACTTGATTATGTCCATTAAAGACCCTATTTCCAGATAAGGTCACATTCTGAGGTACTGGAGGTTGAGACTTCAACATATCTTTTTGAGGAGGGCTCACAATTTAACCCATACAGTATCCAGGAGGAATGAAAGCATATGACTACACAAAAACTTGTACAGAAAACTTCATAGCAGCATTATTCATGATCGCCAAAAGGCGGAACCTACCCACGTGTCTGTCAACTAATTAACAGGCAAATTAAATGTGGTCTATCCATAGTGGACTATTATTTGGCAATAAAAGAGAATGAGGTACTGATATATGCCACAACATGGATGAGCCTTGAAAACATTGTTACAAGAAAGAAGGCAGTCATAGTGCATCACGTCATAGGATTTCCTTTTATATGAAATATGCAGCATAGGCAAATCTCTAAAAACAGAAAGAGTAGTTGCTGCCCAGTGACTGGGAAGGGTAAGGAGAGAGAAAGTGATTGCTAATGGGTGCAGGGTTCTTGTTGGGGTGATGAAAATCTTCTAAAATTGATTGTGATAACGGTCGCCCAACTCTGTGAGTATACTAACAGCCATTGAATTGGACACTTGAAATAGGTCAATCGTATGTGAATTAGGGCACATTAAAGCTGCAAAAATAATTTACTTAATGGAATTGAGAGGTTAAAGGATTTGTCATTATTCAGCCTAGAAAGCAATAGTTTATGGCAAGTATATGGGAGTGAAAACCAAGTGGAAACCTACAATGTGGAGCATGGATAAGGAGAAAAATGGAAATGCAGGCGTGATTTCATAGGGCTCACCAAGATGTGAGAAGACATTGGTTCTTAGGCTGCTCCCAGTCCTGCGACTGAAGGCCTTTTAAAAAACTGGATGTGTGAAACAGAATGACCTTTTAGAGATGAATCGTATCATTATAAACAGGCTCTATTGAAAATGATTTTATTTTGGGTGATTATGGATTTAAAACAGTGGGGTTGATGTGAAAAGAGGTAAGTTGTAGGAGGAGACTTGAGTAGGAACCATGTACATATGGAGAAAGTCACAGAGCTGACAGAGGAACTCTGCAGAAGGGAGATGTGTATGAGGGAGCCAGAGAATGGAAATGTAGCCAGGGAGGATGGCAGACCTCTAGGGAAATAGCTGGCAGAAAAGCCAGAACGTGCAGTTAGGCATAAGCCCATAGCCTACAAACAAATGGAGTAGATGTGACAGTTGAGATTTTCCTCAGGAAGATATAAGGGCGGTTTGTAATCTTGACTGTCACCCATGCTGGGGAGAACAACTTTGCTCCTTTTTGGCCTATAGTAGCTCCTGGTGGCATTACTGTTAAGATTCATGAAGTTCTTAGATGCAGCAGTGAGTCCCTACTGTGACTTAACTCCCATGCCTAACATGGAGGAAATTGTGTCATGTATGTGAAATAGGCTAGAGTGGATTTTAGAATCACTTCATAAATTAGTCATCATGTCTTGTTTTAGGAATCCTTTAAATGCCAATCTACATTAATAAAGTTTCTCCTACAGTGTATATTGAAAAATAAAGTCTAAATATTCTGTATCATAGCTGTAAGAATTAAGCATTAGTGACTTTCTCAAGATAAGAAGAAATAGTATGTGCTATTTTTTTCTCTATCATTTCTGTTAATTTAGCCCTTTAGAATTTTAGTATAGATGTATACACTCACCAGAATAGGAATGTTAGTTCAGTGTTAGTCCTATAGTCTTGTATATCTAACGTCCAAGGGCTCAAATTACAGGCTTTCATGTGGCACTTTATAAATTTCCAATCTAAAATAGAACATTTTATTTAATTTACATGCTGACTTTTCAGACTTCAAAATTTAGTGAATCTCCTTTACTTTAAGGGAAAATAAAGATTTTTCTTCTTACGGGAAGAACTACTTGCCAGGTTACATATGTTTATTGTGCTAATGAAACTGTCATAAAATTTACCACCTTAACTGCCAATTTCCATTTACTTTAAAGTTATACGACCATACATCCTAATTTTCTGGTTTATACCTGTTGTCCCAGTGTAATTATTAATACCATCTCCTTTTACATTAAAAAGTGCCCTGGCTTGAATGATAGATTGTGGTTATCATACTATAAAGATATTAATTTTCATGAGTATTAATAATTGATTCTAGAAATGAACATATCCAGGGTTCCATATTTCCCATAAACACAAAAGTTGCTAAATCTTTTTACATTGATTATAAAAGTAAAAACACATGACTGTAGATTCATCTGATTCCTAGTCATGCTTTCTAGAAATGTTTATATAAAAGTCTTCCCTATAAGGGCTGTTTCATGGAACCGGGGCAGTTTTTTCCTAAACTGCTTGATAAAGTGTTTTACCTACTGGGAAGAGGGTAGTAACTGATAGAACCAATGACAGCATACTGTCCTATTATAAAGATGCTGTCTTGTTGTTTGAAAACTGTAACTTTGGGGTGGGAAGAATGATGACCCCAGTTTTAAATAACTAATTGGAATATTGGTCTACTCTGAAGTCTCCAAGTGCCCTAAGATCTTTCTACTGAGAGTAAACAGGTATCCTCATCTGCTCTGGGAGGTACCATCTGTATACCGCAGCAGTGGAAGGTGTGGGTTCTTAGGATGTGAGTTGTTTCTCCAGCGTTTGGTTTTATGACATTGCTCTGTAGGCAGTCAAATCCTCACTGACACTTTCTCCACTTGTGGAAGAGAAGACAGGTGCTGTTGGAGAAGAATGA